CCCTCAGCCAGGGTCAACCCACCACAATGGCTAACTCAATGGTTTTTAAAGTCCTTTGATTTGTGGGCACACGGACATTTGCTAAAGGTTGTGAAGATCCCTTAAAAAATCATATTAAGACTGCTGTGTGGCAGCAATGAACTTGCTTCCCCTGCCCAAACCTTCATGGACCCTTTAGAAATGGCCTGAGTCATCTCGGGTGGAAACTACTGCCAATATGCATGAGGATAAAACTAAAGTTTCCAAAAGGGCAGCTTTACAGAAAGCTCCCTTTGTTAAGGAGCTGGCTGTATGGACTGCTGGCAGCTCCGTGAAAGAGTAGAGTTCAAATTTTAGGCTTGCTGCCTTTCACCGTCCTGACAGGAGGCTGCATAGGAGCAGGCCAGGAACTATTCAACCCCAAAGTGCTTCTGGGAACGTAAGAACTAGCCTTGCAAAAAGCACAGCTCAGTGCAGCTACCTCCAAAGTGGCAACACCTCTGCGTAGGTTATTTTAAAGTACGTCCCAGAATCTTTCTACTGCATACTCAAGCTTCCCAGCCTGGGTGACAGGCAGGACACACCAAGACGGATAAGGCAGTCTGCACTTGCATAGGTACAAAAATTCAGAGGCAAAAAGCACTTAGGAAGCTTCCTCCATTGCTCAGGGGCAGAATGCAAGGAAGGATCCTTGCCTCCCCATGCTCACACCGCTTTGTCAGTGCTCTGGTTTCGTAAGCTGAAAAACCACTGCAAGTCCAAAGGCGCTTGCCATTAGGTCCAGCAGTGCTCTGCACAGATTCTGTCATCTTACCGATCATAGCTGTGGGCAGTCTGGGCTTTCCTAAGCAGAGGAGGAAAGTATGCCAGCAGTACTTACAACTTGAATGGCCTGTGGACACCGTGCGTACAACACAAACATGTGGGCGTAAAGGACTTCCCCAGAGTCCACCTGGAACTGGACATCACTCAAGTGGGGGTTGTTGACCATTGCACTGAAATCTTCAGCCAGCAACCTGAGAGAGGACTGGAACACAGACGGAACACAAAGACAGAAGTTACATTACAGTTGCCAAACGTTAATAAGAAGGGAATAACGCAATGTATTGGCATTGCTGTACTGTGGACCCCTGTCTGGATGCACTGCCTTTGCCTTCTGAAGCTAATCAACATTACCAACTTAAGGTTTCCATACGACAAAAAAGCAGACAAGTCTAACAGATATTTCTGGCTTTGTTTTACTCCAGTTTTTCCCAGTCTGGAAATTTTGAAGAAAGGGCAGTTCTGTTGTATTCTACTGTACTTGTTCTGCTGGTGCTACAGCACATTATCACGCTCAGACCTTCACCACACCATTTCCTGATGTGGTCTAGCCACTGCCTATAGTTGGCCCCTTGATCTGCCGCCTTCCACCACAGCTTTAGGAAACTGTAATTTCCACTTAGACGGACTTGAACTCAATTCACTATAATTAGAGGGAAGGGGATGACTCAGGGATGAGTAATGAGTCTTTCTCCTCTGGTTCACTGTCTGGCAATGACAGCTGAGAAGAGCATCTCTGCAACAAGGGGCTCATGTAGAATAAAACCAATGTAGGTGTCTAGTTCAAAGGAACTTGTGTGCTTATCACTGAAATCCCTTTTGAAAATTCCACTCAATTATAAAAAAGAAACATAATTTCTATTATCATTCTAGAACCCCTTGCTGGAATTTCGGTGAGGGCTTGTTGACTGAGCTACCTGTGACTGGTTACTGGTGATGGTAAGGTCAGGCCTGGGGTACACTGCCAAAGACAGCAATGATGAGCGCTCTGTTTCTGCTCAGGAGCTGCTCCCAGCACGAACCCACCCCAGGCAATCTTCTAAAGACTCAGATCCTTCTAGGCAAGTGTTGCGGCTCTGGAGGTGGCCAGGGCTTCAGAGAAGTGTGAAATACCCTCAGCTCATGGCTGAGAGACTGTGTGACTGTAAGTGGAAACCAGTTTATAGTTAACACACTAATCACTGACCTTGTGCTTTTCAAACCTTCTGCAGAGTTGAGGAACTGCAAGTTTTATTCCAGTGAACATCTGCAGGAGATGCAGTTCCACCTGGAACAACACAGCTCTTTATTTTATTAGCAGGTTTCTATGTCAGCAGTGGACTGTGGAAACCCAACCTTTCTACTCGCGCCAGCATGTGTTTGCCAGCAGCCAACACTAATTAGCACCAAAACAGAAGCATACACCGGAACACTTCTTCCAGGCCTTCATAGGTGGGCTAGAGAAGACTCTGCGTGTCGTGGCAGAGGTGTGGACTGATCTCCCAGGGAAAGACAGGAAGCTCAGTCTGGAAACTAATCTGATGTTTCTTGCTTTCTTATTCTTGGCAGGTAGGATACCTGCAAGACAGTACCTCAGGAAGCCAGCAAACACAGACTCCTGATGCTACGTTCCAGGCAGCAAGCCCCGAACTGATGCTAAAATTATGAATTGGGAATGGGGAAATTAAATAAGGCTAGAAACCTCCTGGCTGCACCATTTTCTGTGCAAAGCAAGCAGACTGGTCTGAAGATAGCTCCGAGTGCGTATGTGCTCCTGTCAGAGAACACACCGGAACACACTCTCCTACTGAGGAGGCCAGCTAGGCTGGACGCCACAGATGTGACAAGGGTCTTGTGCGTGGGTAGGGGGATGTGTTACCAATGCAATGGGTGTATTTGCTCTACATGGTTACACTCTCTGTACTCACAGAAAGCACAAATCTCTCTCCCACTGTCAATCCAACTCTCCAGCAACACTTCATTTGCTTAGAAAAACTATCATAGAATCAAACTAAATCTGAAAAAAATGATCATTCTGGTTTTGCTGGTAGCAATTGAGTTTCAACAAGAGTATCAGAACAATCTCTGTATTGCTAAAGGCCTCTGGTTTAATAGACTCAGAAGCTTATACAACAAGACTTTTTTTCCAGCTAAGGATTTTTTTTTTTAATACCCCCAAAGAATATCTGAGTTTCTGTAACAAGTAGCTGGGAAGCTCAAGTTTAGTACTGATTCCCACCTCAAAGAATTGTCTCCTTTTAGAAATCTCTGAATTTTGCTAGCACAATATGAAAGTGCTTTCTCAAGGCATCAAAATTTATCTGGCACCAAAAGCCTCTAGCTTTCATGACGTGATTATTCATTATGAAACCAAAGATAATAAGTTTCACCAGATAAAGTGGATGACCCTGGTGAGAAGATGCATTAGGGTTTTTTTTTTTATACACACTTCAATTGAAGGCAACTGATTATACATCCATGGGGAAAATGACTAGTGCATCTGGGGTAAGATGTAATCTACAAAACACCACTGGCTTGATAAAAAAATCATCTTTGACTTACTAGCCTGTGGTCTTCACCTAGTCACCACAGAGAGCACACTGATTTTCAAGCTAGATCCTTTGATATGTGTTCCCACAATTGAGGCTTTTCTATACTAAATCTTTTAAAAGCTCACATTAGCAGCAAAAAAGTGCTCATCTTCCATGGACCTCACAGCATTCCACTTCATCTATCAGGCTTTTATGCCAGATGAGAGAATTTAGTGTGAGTCAGCCAGTCCTTGCAAGAATTCTCTCTTCCACTGCAAGGCACAGCACAGAGAGGAAGGTGACAGAAGAGGAACAGCTCCATCTCCATTCAGAACCATCCAAAGTAGCTAAGTGTGTGAGAAGCACCAGGCAGCTCTGTCTCTCCTGGGCTGCAGCCAATTTTCTCTTGGATAGCCTGGGCGTTAAAGCAGAGTACTGCCTACCATCATGCAGCTGCACCCCAAGTTCGTACCCCAAACAGTCTTAGTGCTATAACATACCTCTTTAACCTGGTTCTTTTTATATAAACTCTGCACAGACTGGCCTTATGTTACCTGGCATTTAAAATCATCTCTCTTATCAGGTGGGACAAGTACTGAAAAATCCATGGGCCTGCTTGTGGGCATCAATGAAATACCACGACATGTGCTGATCTCACCTGTGCCCACGATGATTCCTGAGTGACTGTGAACCTTAAGCACCTCTTTGTTTCTATGGAAAGGAATGGGAAATATTCCATACTTCTATGAATTGCACAAATGTAATAGCTTCTTTTTTACAGTGATAAACAAATACAAAAAAAGTGGGAAAAAAGGGTTGTCCTTACTCTTTTCCAGCTGCTCGTCAGAAGGCTCTTCTCTTTGGATGGGGGGACAAAGCCACTATGTGGAGTATCACAGGAAGTCATTTCTTTTCCTTTAAGAAGAAAATGCGCATCACAACTCACATACAACTTCTTTGTGAGACAGAGTGATGTAAGGACTCCTAACATGATCCAGGCCATGACAGCTCCCCAAGACAGCTGCTATCACCAGCCTGACTGAGTTGAAGGCTCAGGCTGTCCCTCATGCCTTTACTGGAGGGTTTGGCTCTGGGCTGTGACAAGCTGTGGGTACTCGAGTACCTTTCAACCATGAGCAGCACCAATCTACTGCAGATCTGTGTGTGCCGAGGAACTGCAGAGTGCAGCATGCTGCTTTGCTTTCACGTCTCAGTTTTCCTCCAGTGGGAAAAAAAACTATGACGCAGAGCAGAATGGGACATGCCACGGTCTCATCCTAGCAGACAGGCAGAATGCATCTTGGATCTGCAGTTCAACTTAGACAAAACGCTGTGGGCCCTAGTGCTCAGAAGCAGCCAGTGAAACCAGTTTTGCACAGCCTGAGCTCTGTGGTAGTCTACAGAGCACACAGAAAGAACTGATGTCTTCAGAAATGGGTTCGGCTGCATTAGTGTCTGCACAGTGTTTTTTCTCCACCTGGTCTCATTTACACACACAGTATATATTTATGTGTGAAAATTATTTCCCTCATCCAGGAAGCTATATTGCCACTGAAATCCCAGGAGTAGATTTATAGGACCAGGAATCATTTGCTGCAGTTTAGTAGGGGAAGTGAGGAATATTATACCCAAGTGAAAATGCAGACAGGTGAACTTAGCAACCACGTTCTCTTTCACAGGCGAACAGGAGACATACAATACATTTTGCTGAACAGCCAGCCCATTTTAAGGGATATCATTGACCTTGAAATGAGCAGTTGTGCACCACACGCAACTATGACTGAGGACATTAGAGAGCTGCCCATAGAGGAATTCTAGATGTTGTATTTTTTCAACCCTGTACAGGTACAGATAAACTTCAGGTTTATGTAACTGATGTACCAACATAAAATCATCCCTCTTGCACATGTCTCTCATCCAATTGTCTCAAGACCTGAAAAGACAATGCACATAACAGAAAGACTGTCCAAATAGCAGGGATAAGGATTTTGTTCCAGCTGTTGAACATGTCCAGGCTCCCTCCTGGCAGAAAATACTTTGATATCTATAAGGGAATTTTAAAATAAAATTTAGTAGCTGCTGTCTAGGAGTTCTCTTAAATGCTGGGATTTATGAATCATTTCAGAAACCTCAGCTTGATTGTATCTAAAGCTTACTGCAGAAAAATGTCTCCCCACAATATCACCCCTTGGATCAACATCAATGTCCTGTGGGTGCTGTCATGGCTCTCCTAACTCAGCACAGCTTAAGCCTGGCTCTGTGTAGCAGAAGGGACTAGTGACAGGGTTCACAAAGCTGACAGAACTTACCTGGCTGCTCCACTGCCTGAATGTGATCAACATCAAGGTTCCACTGAGTGAGGGTAAGTCCTTCCCTGGCCAACTCAACTAGGTCCTGCAGGGTCTGAACATCCTTCTGGCTGTGAGATAAGAACTGTCCGTCTCCTTCAGGGCCTGACTTGGACTCATCAGAAGTTTGACCTCCAACCTCTGTGCAAGTGGGCTCATGAGAACTCACGTCAGGTTGAATTTGCTGGGATACTTTTGGCTGATCAGATCCCACCGATGGCAGAACATTCTCTGGCTTATGATTCTGATCAAAAGAGGGGGGAAAAAAGACACCAATACATTAGGTCTTGTTTTATGTATTTGCAGAGCTCAGAGTACAGTCTCTTCTTCATGCTTTTGAAACACCTAGTAAAGGATTACAGAGCATTCCCCAGGTACAAGGGCTTCTGAGGCAAAAACTCTCTGCAGTTTTGTGAAGGACTCCCCAGAGATAGGACAGCTCTTAACAAAAGAAAGGAATCTACAACAGAAAACGCAGAAAAGGTGGTTTTTCCAGAAGCATGTCTGTGCAGGCAATTGCCAAACAGGGAGAAAGGATGGTAGAAATGCTCCCACTCCAACATCTAAATATTTCATTATAGCTGGAGCGCCTGGCAACAGTTGCAGCTGAAGCTCTCCAGGTGCTTCTGTTCTGAGTTCTGAAATGCTTTTGCAGTTACATGTAACTAAATCAAACTTTCACCTTGGAGCTGATATTTTCCAGGTTTGGTCTCTGCTTCCCAATAAAAATAGTTTTGTTTGTTTATTTCTAAGTAAAAATGGTTTCGCCATTTCTGTGACTGGAACGAATCAGAAGGAAAACACACTCTTGCCATGATTTTAAAGGCCTACCTAACTTTTATTTTTAAACTGCTCTGGCAGTTTTTTGCCTTGAACAAAAGGTCAAAAATCTTCACACAAATGGAGTCCCTCCACTACAGCCCCAGCCTGCAATAAGCCAGTGAAAAACTCTGGACTTTGATGAGGGAAGAAGTACTAAATAAGGCACATATATTCACACACAATAGTTTTTGAACAGAAGCACCAAACAATTCTTCAGGGAAACAATGGGGAAAGGAAGCGATATCCTTCTTCTTGGAGAGCAAGTATGTGATGAGAGACTAGAAGAGCTTTGTCTATTTCTGTAGGCACTCTTTACAAAAATAAGGAGCACTGAAAGAGGCAGGAGATCTAGGTGAAAAACAGAACAAAACAGTGGAACTGAAAGCTGGATCAAAGCTTATATGCACCAAGAGGCAGTGGGATGCACAGGGAAAGTCTGAAGTGCAAATGCTTCACTTTACAACTCCGGGTGCTCCAACCTTCTCCTCTGTGCAAGACAAATACCAGTCTTCAGTTTAAACTTTTCACTCAGTTCCCTGCTGAGTGCAACACACAGGCAAAGCTCATGCTAGAATAAATCGGAGTCAAATGCCAAGAAGGAAAAGAAGTGTCGGGCTGCTGTAAACATGGACAAACTAGTGGCAAAATGACCACAATGGCGTCCCTTTACTCAGTACTCTGTTCCCATCAGTTATATTTTCTGAAAGCTCAAGGAATAACACAGTAACATGAGCCTTGGTCTCCTCTCCAAACACGAGAAAGAAGAGTTCAAGATCATAAAACCTAGCTGTGGAAGATCAGGGGGCAACAGGTCATGAGCAGTGAGTATGAGTATGCAGAGGCAGGGGATCACTCATTTAAATACCAAATGAGGAAACAGAAGGGTTACAGGGCAAGTGAACTAGGGCACACAAGTATCAGAGCAAGGACAAAAGAGCATCGCACCTGCACAGGCTTCCAAGGTACAATTGGAGGGATTAATCCAGCAGTGTAGAATGATTCAAGGTCATAGGATCCTGTCAGAGCACTGATATTCCATAAAAAACACTCCCTGGTTTTGGACAATGGCAAGAGCCAGGTTGCTTTCCCAGATTCATCCTCCAAAATCCTACTAGTGGGAAGCTGAGGAGTGGGAGGGAATTCCACCTCTTCTGCAAGCAGCATAGCTACTCGCTCTTGGATCCTTTTGCGGACCTTCTCCGGGTCCTGAAGCAGTAATGGTGGAGGTGCAGTTGGGCCTCTTTTGCGCCGTTTCTTCTCTTTAAAAAGAAAAGGAAGAGGAACTCAAGTAAATAAACAGCTGAACACATAGGGTGGAGGACCTCAACATGCCAGCTTCTTCAGGTGTTGTAGTCAGTGATGACCAAAAGGCAGCTAGCTACAAGCTGAACACAACTCCTAAGATTTCTGCGGGTAGTCCAAAGCCTGACCTCACCCTTACGGGAGACATGAACTCCAGAAAAGACTGACTCCTGCTCACACTGCTCTGCTGCCTGTTGGGAGCGGTTGCATGTCTACAAGATCTGATCCGTATGGAAGCAACTGATATCCATGCAGTCTGCCTCCCAGACCCATGGAATGGTGCCTGTACGGCACTTGACTAGATCCCAGTGCTTCACGAAAAAGGGAGAAAAAACCACCACCAAATCCTGAAGGACTCCTTTTCTTGCGTACAGGTCACTGATTATATCAAACCACAGCTAACACGAACACTGCACAACTTCATTTGGAAATCCTGTGTCTTACTACCTTTGCTTTACTATAAATACAAATCCAACTGGCAGTACTTTTTGGCAGGAGGAGACCTGAGCAGTGTCATGAAGCGTGAACTCTCCCCTCTGCACAGCACCTGATGCTCTCCCCTGGCAGTTGACTTCCTTTCTAAACCTTTTTGCACACTGAAATCGCAAAGCACATCTTCAACAGCATGTAATATACACATATGTCCACTACAGAAAGAAAACAGAGAGGTAAGAGATAAGGCTGGAAAAGCTGCATTAATCCAGATTGCAGCAGGATAAATAAGAAACAAATCTACTGCAGGAGAAATAACAATAATCTCTTCACGTCATTTCTTTTCACTTCCACAGTTTACAAAAAACAGCTTAAGAATATTTTACAGATTCAGAACAGTCAATTGGTGAAAAAAAGCATGAGATTCCTAAAGGATTTCACTAAAACCCATGGACATCCTGCAGCCTTTCTTGACTGTGTGTGGATACCGCATATTGTTGAAGCTCTGACAGCTTAAATAAAACAGAAACAGGGCTGTCATCCCTCCTATACCCCACAGGAAAGTCTTAGTGAAGAACAGGCTGTGTTACATTACTCCTCCAACAACACAGCCTTTGACATTAACTCATTTTAGCACATACCTGATCCTGGCTTCCATTTGATTGGCAAAGCAGCCACTGGTTTCACATTTGTAACTGATTTTGCCTGTTCCTGCTTTTCTTGCTCCAACAGAGAGCGTGACATTGCCATAGCAACCAGCAAATCTTCATCCTTAGTCTCCATTTTGGCTCTCTTCTGCATTTTATTTGAGTCCTCTTTGGAGGAGACTTTTCGCTTTGACCTGTTTGGTTGATTGCTGAAATGCAAGAATGCAGGAGGAAGCCCAAGTTAATGTGACTGGATCAGAGACAAGAAACACTGAACACTCCAGACCAGCTGCTCTACTCGCTCAGAGAGATTTCCATATCCACAATAATGAAAAACTATTCAGTACCTTCTTCCCTAGCAGAGAGAAAGAGATTTCCATATCCACAATAATGAAAAACTAATAAGTACCTTCTTCCCTAGCAGAGAGAAGAGGATTTCTTATCACCCATGGAATTTAAGGAAAGTCTTATTTTGAAAAGGTAACCACAAGACCACAGCACTGATGCAAACAGCTGCTATCTCTATCTTGAACATTTTTTTGTACCAAAGGAGAAAAAACAAGTTGAAGCAGGGCAAAACCAGAAAATGCTTTCCCACTCTTCTGCTTCCGCAGAGAACAGGCAATGGTCCTTCCTCAGCACAAAGGGACTTAGGAGCCCTTCTACAAATTCAGTCAGGCACCACTTGCTGCACTCTGAAGATTCTGCTCAAATCCAAGACAGCAGATGCAGCTCTGCATTTCAAAACATCACGTCTGTTTCCTCTTTGGCTCAGGGTGTAAAGCATATATATCCAGTGCAGCCACAAGCCGAATAGCTGAGGTATTGGCATGACAGACACTCAGGAGAGACTGCATACTCGTACTATGTGGTTTGCTTTATAAGCTCAAACACACCATTCAGCTTTACTGCACAATTGTCTGATAGAGCACAAATATTTCTGACACACCAGTGTAAGATTATTTACTCCTCAATTTGCTCCTGCCTGCTGACTTTTTCAAGTCATCCACCACCTGACCCTTTCTGAAGGAAAGAAAGATGATTTCTCCAACCACTTACCACATTCTCCTCATGCGGTACTGGCTCATGGCTCTACTTGACCTTCTTTGGACTTGGGGCCCACCCAGAATGCGAGTCTGCCTTGCTGCTACCGTTCATCCCCAGGAGCACAAGGTCAATGTCTCTCAGACCAAAGAAAGCAACCAGAATCTTTTATTTTCACCACCTTACCTGGGACACTGAAGAGGTGCATCACCCAGTGTGGACACCTGCAAGTGCACTGCCTGAAGAAGTAGCTTAGGAGGAACCTCCATCTCGACAGCACAGCGTTTCAAGTGGCTGACTCGGCTCTGCGGGGTTTGGAACTGCTTCCCGCAGATGGGACATTCAGGGACCAGTGGTTTGCTGGAGGATGACATCTGTGCTTCTTCCAACTCATCCAGACACCTGTGAGACAATCGCAAAGCTTACCTCTGAAGACTTGAAACCTGTCCATGCTAAGATTTGAACCATATTAAAGAAAAGGAAGCACAATCATCTCTAGTATCTGTAACAGACAGAGAAACATCCCCTAAAGAAACAACAACTACGTGCTCACCACTGTGATGCATATGACATATAAGAGTTACATGGAGATTACGGCTTCAGAGGCATATTAAAAACATGTTGCTCAGAAGCAAGCAGAGGTAATAAACTTCTTTAACTTCATCACATGTCCATTACCTAATTCCTCTTTCTGCATTCATTCTAACATTGCAGCTAACTAGGAAAAAAAAACGGAAAAAAACTCTACCAGAGAAATGGTAAGTCTTCCTCACCCCAAACAGGACTACTGTTTGTCCTTCTTACTACTTTTGTAGGCATGACCACATGCAGTGTCAAGAACGCAAGCATTTTAAATCTCATTTGCCAAGGACAGTGTTTTATATCACAGAAAAGGGACCATTTGAAATGAACACCACACTCAAGAGTGAAGGATTAGGAATTTCTAATAATTTCTGGTAGACCAAAATTATGTAACAAATTTTAATGGTTCTTTTTCTGTCCTCTCCAGAGAGATTCAGGGTGTGAAATCTTGGATCTGCAGTACCTGTTATAAAAAATCACTCCCTGATTAGAATCATCTTTGGGTTGGAAGGGACCTCAAAGCCCATCTACTTCCAACCCCCTGCCATGGGCAGGGATACTTTCCACTAGCCCAGGTTGCCCAAAGCCCCATCCAACCTGGCCTTGAACACTGCCAGGGAGCCAGGGGCAGCCACAGCTTCTCTGGGCAACCTGTGCCAGGGCCTCAGCACCCTCACAGGGAAGAATTTCTGCCTCACATCCCATCTCCATCTCCCCTCCTGCAGCTTCAGGCCATTCCCCTTGGCCTGTCACTCCCTGCCCTTGTCACCAGCCCCTCTCCAGCTTTCCTGGAGCCCCTGCAGGGACTGGAAGGGGCTCTAAGGTCTCCCCGGAGCCTTCTCTTCTCCAGGCTGAACAAGCCCAACTCTCTCAGCCTGTCTCCATAGCAGAGGTGCTCCAGCCCTCGGATCATCTCCATGGCCTCCTCTGGACTCTCTCCAACAGCTCCATGTCCTTCTTGTGCTGGGGCCCCCCGAGCTGGATGCAGCGCTGCAGGGGGGTCTCACCAGAGGGGAGTAGAGGAGCAGTGTCCCCTCCCTCAACCTGCTGGTCACGCTGCTGGTGATGCAGCCCAGGACACGGTTGGCTTTCTGGGCTGCCAGCGCACATTGCCGGGGCATGTCGAGCTTCTCGTCCCCCAACACCCCCAAGTCCTTCTCGTCGGGACTCCTCCCCATCCATTCTCTGCCCAGCCTGGAGTTGTGTTTGGGATTGCCCTGACCCATGCACAGGACCTTGCACCTGGGCTTGTTGAAGTCCCTGCAGTTCGCACGGGCACACCTCTCCAGCCTATCCAGGTCCCTCTGGATGGCGTCCCTTCCCTCCAGCATGTTGACCGCACCACACACCTTGGTGTTGTCAGCAAACTTGCTGAGGGTGCACTCTATATCACTGTCCATTGGACTGACAAAGATGTTAAACAGTGCTGGTTCCAACACCAACCCCTGAGGAACACCACTCACCACTGGTTTCCACTTGGACATCAAGCCGCTAGGTAATGACACACACAGGGTTGTGTAAGAGACCATTCATCTGATGTACTAGGACTGGTGATTACTAGTTCGCCAGTGCATTTATGCACCTACAGCTTTACCTCTTGTGATGCAGACTGCTATCAAAAAATCCATTGCCAATATAACCTTGTAATCTCATCATATGATTACATGATTAATAGTTCAGAAAGCAGACTTAATTTCCAAAAAAGCATTTCTGATATGCTGTCACTGTTTTACAACCTCTGTCCTCTCAAGCAGCAGTAAATATCTGCAGACAGAAACAGCAATAACACCTCTAAAGCTGCAGCTGCAGAAAACCCTAATGAATGTGAGATACTCAACAACGTGATGTAGGACTGGACAAATCAAATCACTCTTGCTCCCTTAAATTGCTGGAATTAAGAAATTACAACCATTCAGATGTGCTGTTTCTGATACTTTCTCAACACAGAAGCACAGACCTTTAATTTACAGAGCTATCTGTACATAATATATTAACATGTGAGATACTCAACAACGTGATGTAGGACTGGACAAATCAAATCACTCTTGCTCCCTTAAATTGCTGGAATTAAGAAATTACAACCATTCAGATGTGCTGTTTCTGATACTTTCTCAACACAGAAGCACAGACCTTTAATTTACAAAGAGCTATCTGTACATAATATATTAACGCTACTTGATATTTACCACTAAGGAAATTTATATTAAGGGCACTAATTTCAATTTAATTGCACACACTCTGACAAAAGAGAAGGCAGGGAGCCCTTCCCTTAGCCTCTCTGCTCTCCTTGTCAACGCTCTATAGCGCAAGTTAGTCATCTTCCTGAATAGTATCACCTTTCCCTCAGCAAACTGGGATACACAGTGACATACTAGATGTTCTCAGACAAACAATTTTTAGCAAAATAGAGCAAACGTTACTTTGTTGCCTGACATCAGTAGATCTCAAAATCTGCAGTAGTGGGTTCTCGTTAATTTTGCCAGCCACTTTACAATCGCAGCTCCTCTGCCACACTACTGATGAAAGCAGCATTGGCCTTACCAGACAAATGCAGAAGCCCTGCAGGGCCAGACAATCAGCTCTGCTTTGAGATAAAAATGACTTGTTAATTCAAGCCATAAAGGTCAATCTCATGATGCAGATTCCCTGGCTACCATGTTCTGAAATGGCTAAGCCAAGTGAGCAGTCTTACGAGGTTAAAGGGGAGAGGATGTAGAAAGGACACATCATACTGGTCTTTCACCTGTTAACATGCTGCTCTCGTCGCGTTGTGTTCATGGCTGAGAGATCTTTCTGGCAGATCTGACAAAAAAACAAGCCTGCATCCTCCAGGCTTGCCAGGGCTTCCTCTTTGGTTTCCCGCTGAAGAGCCAAAGCCAGAGCACCATCGTGCTCCATGGACGGAAGATGGGGGGTATCTGGCAAAGAAGAGAGAGATGATCTACGACAGAAAACTAAGAATCCCATATGAAAGGAGTGGAGCTGTTATACTTGTCATTATTAGTTTATTAAACTAGACATGTAAAAATAAATTGCAATCTTTCTCTCGTGCCTTCACCTTTGATCTCTCACATGCGACAGGACTGCACTAGCTGAGCAGCAGGAGGTGGCAATTTGCTCACAGTACATCACAGGTCAGAGCCAAATGAAGGGTAAGTTTTGGCTAAAGTTTCTGGGGAGAACATGGGATCTTATACGCCACATATTAAAACACAGCTGATTTTCACGTCCGTACAGGACCAAAAGGACCTCAACTTATAAAGAACCAAACCAGAGTAAAATTGCTGTGGATTTAATTCATCCGCATAGCACACACTATTTTTGTAGAGTACTTGATCTACCAAAGACAGGGACTACCTAAGAGTTGTATTTACCTAACAGCTGCCTAACATTGTCCCAAGGGAAGGATGACAAAGTTCACTCATCCTGCTGGAATATCATCCTGTTTCCAAGAAGACAATTATCCCTCCAGAATCCAGCATAAGGTTAATTCAGCCTCAGAGAAGAGCTGGGAGAAAAGTACGGATAGTCCTCTAACAATAGAGAAAGCAAGTTTTCTCAGCAATCTGGAGTGATTTATTCAGCACTGCACACTGAACCACTAGGCTAGCTGGGAACAAAGCCCAGGAATCCGGACTGCTTCTCGTGCAACCATTTGAACCAGCCCACGGCACTCCTTCTGCATGTGCAAGAGCTAATAAGAGAAACGTACCATTCTCTGGTGGGTTCTGCTCCTGGCTTTCGTCAGGGAAGTCCCCACCAGCTACAGACTTTGGCAAGCTATCATCTGTGCTGTGTTTTAGCTGCTCAGGTGCCACTCTCTTGAACTGCTGCATTCTCTCTACTACCAGCTCTGCTACTCGCATCTTCGACCCTGCGAGCGACGGTATCTTTGAGGTGGGTGAAGAGCAGGTCCCTGGCTGCGTAGCAGGATGGAAGGATAATGTAGTCTGGGAACAGCCGCTCAGGGCATTTACTAGAGTGGGAGAAAACACCAGAGCTTTACCAGTCAGTTTTAAACACAAAGCTGAGCTGCTTGGAAGCCTTCCCCAACAGCAGCCTAAGACAGGCTCAGTTTTGCAACAGCTGTTTTTAGAGGAAGAAGTGAACAACTTGTTTAGCTATTACATGACTTTATACTTGATAACCACAGTAACAGTATCAGGCTTCTGTGCTACAGTGGAGTTTAGATATCTCTGTATCCCCTTCAGAGGAAGGAATATTAAGGAAGGCCTTGCCTGAAGGTGACTAGCGAGAACAAGCAGCAAGGCAGCCCTACAGCCCCACTCTCCCCAGCGTTCCCACCACAGAACGTCCTGTGGTTCCTGCTGTTCTTCGCCCTGATCTCCAAACCCTATCTGTGGCTCAAACTTTCAGGCTCTGAGCCGAGCCTGGAGTTCCCAAAGAGAGGTGGTAACAAGCAGGAGGCAGAGGCAATGCCAGACTAACACCTCAGCACACCACTGCTCTGCCTGAGGCATCCTGTCGATATGGGCAGCGTGCAAGATGGGACCACAGACCTCGCCAGCCCATTCTCTTGTCTCTGAGTGCAGTCAGCAACACACACTTCAGAAAGGGTGATCAGGACAGGACAGGTACAAAATAATCCTTTTCTTTGCTGATCTTATTTATCAGTTTAAGGACTTCCTGCACTGGTGACTGCATTCTGGCCATCATGTTTAATAACCACTGAAGGACTAATCCTTTATGAATTAATCCAATGCCTTTCTTAACTTGTTCATATTTTTGGCCTTGACAACATCTAGTGGCAATATATTTCACCACACAATGATGCGCTGGGTGAAAAAGTACCTCAATATATTCTAAGCTTGCTTCTAGATGATTTGAGGGTGTTTTTCTCCATTCTGATTTTGCAAGAAACAGTGAATAATGACTCCCTAACACATCACTTTGTACCAATGCTTCACCTTACTGAAGGACATCTTCTCCCCGCCTGTAGCACAGAACGCACTCATAGGTTAAACGCCTGGATAAGCCTAAGTGGGTAAGTGTAGATGGAAACACAAGATGCAAGTCTGCTTTGACCAGTGCTGCAGTATGTCCCCTCCAGGTGGATTTCTGAAGAGCTCCACTGAACTACAGAGTGTTTTCAGTCCTAGCCTATTTTCTGTTTGAAAGATTTCAGTTCACTCACCTGTCAAGGTCCTCTGGCTACACTCACTGGCCACTGTACTCAGCTGGCTGGCAGGGAAAAGGTTTCTCTTTCCATCCCCTTGTGCAGTCTCACCACAACTACAGAGGACAGCACCACCATCTTCTTTGTGCACCAATGTTTGCTCCTTTGGACCCAAATCTTGAGGCACGTTTGTTTCCTTCGCTACTGGTGAGTGATGATGGTTTTGGCTCTTAGCAACAGCTTTGCCTCTTCTTAATTTGCTTCTTGCTGCTGTGCTCTTTGACCTGTTCTGAGTCCTCTTCGCTGCCTCAACATCCCCTGCTTTTTTCTTCGCTCTACCCAAAAGATTCGCCCACAACTCTTTAAAATCATTGTCCTGTTCATCCATTGGCCTGCAGGTTCCAGTAACACTGTGGCCTAATGACACAGTGAGGACGGGAGGGCAGGGGAAGATACCAGAATCAGTTCAGGTTTGCATCCATGACCTGCAATTTTCACCAAGTCCCTTCCACCACGTCAGAGGTCTCCACTCTCCAGACTTCAATGAGGTCAACCCCGTGGGCACTTCTTCACTGTTCTGATAGTTCATTCTTCCACACTTAATTCCCAGCCATTTAGTAGAGCGCATTCTCTCTCCAGAGACTACACTTGTTTTCACACATAATGCATCGACAAGTTGGTTCTTCAGAGGTCTCTAGACCATAAGTTAAGCACCTCAGTTTGTACAGAGCACGTATAGGAGCTTCGTGATATGCTATAAGGCTTCGGAAGTACACTTACTAAAGCCCTTAAATAAAGAAATAAAAAAAGGTGATTATGTAGGATGGTTTTTGCAGATGCACTGTGGGACAGGGCTGGGGTAGACTTTTGAAGGAGGAGAGAATTTGTATAAAATAGTAAGATTATAAAAAGCATGTGTTGACCCAAACCACTATCACTATAACTGTACTACAGACATGCACAAGCCACATTAGGAAAGAAGAGGAAAGCTTTCAAAACAGATGTCTGATACTGCGTAGGCTTTTGTCCTGGAGCTCAGGTTTTGGGACAGTCCATTTTTATACGCACTTATACTTACATTTATTTAACACAAGACCAGGGAATGCAGCAGGGAAGGGGAAAAAAAAAAAAAAAGACATCCTTCAGATCAAGCAGCTATTCTAGAGTGTAAAATTCTGGTTTGTGACACAGTAGCTTCAAAGAGGAGAGCACGACCTCAGTTTGAGAAGTAAATAAAGGCAGTTTCTGGTATTTCAGAAGCGTTTCTGGGACACGTCTGAGAACAACTCTACCAAACATGTTCATCCTTTCGCTCGTCTTACCTCCAAGGCTGCTCACATTCAGGATTAGGTCTCCTGCTAATACTGAACTTTTCCTCCGAGTACTCAATAAACCATAGCACTGACCATGTTTCACAAACTGCTGTCAAATACGCAAGGTAAACAGACTGAACAAACAGTATTTTTGAATGAGTTTCTTAATCTTTCCAGCTACAGTAAGAACAGCAGTACTAGCTAGGGATTACTTGCAATAGCACTAGGTACAATGTCCAGATGGAAATGCCATCAACCCCCAGGCAACATTAAAACTAGATCTCTATTCTTAGACATTTTGATTGTCCTCTTCTTCCTACTCCTAAGTTCACTACGGTTCTGGCTATTTTACCAGAGGTTTTATATTGCTCCCAAAACCTATTTCTTTCAAGCCTAAATCGGAGTGTTTCACTTGGAATGGCAGCAGCTGTGGTTCAGTTTCTCCAGTAAAGCTCTGGGCACAGAAAGACTCAAAAAGCAGGAAAAACACATGCGAGATTGTTTTCTCAAATGGCTTGGCTGCAGACATGCGAGGCTAAGGAATGCTGGTTACACACTTTCATGGGTCAGCCTTTCCTATAAGCAATTACAGATGTTAATGGATTTATTTATTTTAAACGCAGGCTCCCAAATCAGCAGAGGATTTTGCTGTGAATCTTGGAGTCATTTCCTGTTAGAGAGAAACTGAAGTTTTATGTAGCCAGTTCATAAATTTAATTTTCCTGGACAGAATCTTGGTGTAGTTATCACTGTAAATTGACCATTTTCTTCTAAGCAGGAGACAGCATATGGAGAAAACCAGAATCTCACATCCTCCATGGCTTTACCTCTCACAGACACATTTGTTCTGTTGTATTATTCATAGTGAGTTCCTGATATTAAATTTTGAAACAGATCAGCACTTTTGTGTTTGCAATCAATGTTCAGTGCCCCAGGTAGACCAAGTCAGACATACAAACGATGCAAAACTAAATAAGAATGTATCTTACTCCTCCCTTTCCAGACTTGTATTTACAGGCTCCTGCTCTGTTCAACATCGCAGCATTTCTGATGCTGCTGCTATTGGTGTACCTAACAGCCAGTTTTGGCGAGAGTTTGTAGAGTTCGAAAAGTAATGGCTTTGAAAATAATTTCTTTCAGTATAGTATTCAATTCATTTTGGAAGATTTTAGGACTCAACAAATCACAGAGCTGGTCAAATAAAATAAACAGCAGCACTTACCTATCCAGTTAGATGCCAAATCTATAGCCCAGCTGCGCCCTTCAAGTAAATCTGGATCGGCAAAACGGTACAAAGCAGAACAAAAGATGGAACCTGGAAAATGGAAGGAAAAGTTTAGATTTAGTGTCTTTTGTACTGACTGCTTTTTTTTTTTTTTTTTGCTCAAGTTCCAAGCTGCAGGGGGAGGAAGACAGCAATAGCATATGCTCTAATGGTGCTAAGTTCTGCCACTTCCATTGATCTGTGTACTTAAAATATGTAGGTGAGTTAGACACATTGCTCAGGGCCTGCTCAGCCCAGCAGTGAGCAGCACTGCACGGTGCTGCAGAAAAAGCCCAGAACCCTTCAGAGGGCAAAACAGGTCAGACAGACTGGATAAAGCCCTGAGAAAACTGCTCTGACCCCACAGCTGACCCTGCTTTGGGCAGGACATTGGACTAGAGACGTCATGAGGTCACTTCCAGCCCAAGTTATCTTATGATCCTACAGTCTGTCCTTGCCTTTTCCATTTGGGACTAATTTTGTTTCCTGGTATCTTTCTTGAAACCAAAATTGCAACAGTTAATTCTTATATCCATTAATATTACTATCATAACCCTCTAGCCATGTAACACCCTAACCTTTCTGATGCTGCCATTTTTAGGGTCACAGGCTAAACTCTATTGAATTGAGTTCCCTGGTTTAACTGAAAAAATCCAGGAGAAAGTATCCCTTTTCATCAGTTCTGTTTGCTTCCTTTGTACTTCAGTGACTGTTTTCTGTTGAGACAAGGAGGACAGAAGCTCCAAATCCGCTCTCTTCAGACCACTCAGTATTTTATTAAATTATATGTATCACATCCTCCAGTGTCTGTGCTTTAAAATAAGAGTCATAGTCTTTTCTCTTTTCCTAGGAGAATCTTTCCTGGCCCCTGACCATCTCCATCAGTATTCCCTGAACCTCCTTCACTCTCCTTTGCTTTTTCTGAGACACGTTGACCAGTACTGCAGACAGCAGACTGCTGATGAAGAAGTTTTACATTGTCCACGTTCCTTCCCTATCCAGGCCTCGCAGATTCTTTGCTTTGTTTTGAAAGCACCTGCTTGTTGAGCAAAGGTTTTACCTGAACAGAGATGCCTAGGGCTCTTTCAGTATCTGGTATAGTTGAGGTGTTCCATATGATTTGTCTCTTTTCCCACCTCCATACTCTACTTTACACGCCTCTACATTGAAATTCACGAGCTATCTGCAGCTTGG